GGCCCGCCGGGCGCCGGGGGTGGCCGGGGGCGGGGACGGGCCTTGAGGGGGCAGCTCGAAGCTGTGGTTAAAGAGGGGGGCCCGGTGCGCTGCGCCTCCGACGGCCGCCGCCCCGCCCGCGGCCTCTGCCTGGTCTCTGAGAGTCGGACTCGGGAGGGGCCGGGGCCAGGACCGCTGCCCGCCCAGGATGGACGCTCCTGTCCTTGGAGACTTGTACTCACAGTCCTGGGGTCTGCTGTCATCCGGGGTTGTGCCGTCGGGTGGATCCTGGGTGACCACCGCCCACCAGGGATGGCGCAGTGGGCTCGGCTGCTCAGCATTTGGGGGGGCTCCCCGGTCAAGGGCGGCTCTGGCACTAAAAGCCAGGGAGGGACCAGGCCGAGGCCGTGTGGGTCCCTTGGAGGGCTGGGGGTGGGGGGCACCTCTGTCCTTCCTCCCCTGGGATCTCAGGCCCCCGGCAAACCCATCCTTCTCTGGCGACCATCCTTGCCTGCGTGTGGGGCTCCCCGCTGCCCTTCTGGGGAGCCCCTCTATCCTCATAGGGCCAGGCAGGCTTCTGAGACCGACTTATTGCAAAGGCACGTGGTCGAAGGTCGGGGTGTCTGTCGAGTCTCGCGCGGGCGGGGACACAGGTGGTGGCGAGTGGGGGGGACGGAAGGGAGGCTCAGGGGGCATAGCTGTCGTGTGGACTAGGCTGGGGCTCACCCCCATTCTTGCCGCCCCCAGGCTGACCCAGCGACTCTCCCAGGTCTCAGCCCGCTGCCTCGCGCTGTGAGCGGTTGCGCGTCTGCCCGTGCAGCTCACGGTGGTGCAGCTCGGCCGGCGGGCAGGCGGGGCAGCCGGGCTGGGCTCCAGCAGGGGAGCCCCCGAGGCGCGGCGACGGCTCCTGCAGCCAGGGCCCCTGCTTCCTGCAGTCTTGGAGTTTGCCCACAGTGCTTGGGGTCCTGGCCGCCCCCAGGCCGAGGAGGGCAGGTGGCAAGGCCAGCACTCTGCGCCCCTGCGGCTGTGCCCAGGAGCCGGGGTGCCCAGCGGAGGGCCGCGGCCCCCTGCGAGGCCCTGGCTTGTCCCTGGACCTGCAGCTCTCCCAACTCACTCTGGGCTCTGCTCAGTCCCAGGGCCAGCGGGTCCCCTGGACTCACAGCGCCGCCCCAGCTGCCGGGAGCGAGGAGCGGGCGTCTGGGCGGGGCGGGGCGGGGCGGCGGGGCGGGGCCTGCTGGACGCGGCGTCGGCGACTCTGCTGCTGCTTCCTGTGGGAGATGACAGGCAGCCTGTCCCCACCAAGTCCGCTTCGGTTCGCTGACCTTGTTCTGTGCAGGCCCTCGTCACGCGTGCTGCGTCGTGGGGACACCTCAGTGCCCTGGCCCGGGCGCCCGGGCCGGTCAGGCCAGCTGCGCCCTTAACCCTGCCTTTGGTCCCAAACGCAAAGCAGTGGCAGCAGGGTGCTAGGAGGCTGCTGCAGGCCAAACGCCAGGGCCGCACTGCACCGTCAGCAGCTGCCTCCCTCAAGCCAGTGCAGGCAGGGGAGCGCCTGGGGCTGCAGCCTGGGGACCCCCCTCGCCTGCCTGCCTCCCGTCCAGGTTGCCCTTGGCGGCTGCACCGTTGGAAAAATTATGGAGGTGACAGATGAGTTTTGGCTCCGTCGTGGTGGGGGTGCGAGCGTGGGCGTGGGAGTCGCTGTGAGCGGCCGCGAGGGTGAGTCTGCCCGTGTGTGCCCCGGGGCCGGGCCCTGGCGCCGCCGGGC